ATAGACAGTGTATGGCTTTTTGAAAATACCAGCTGCCCCTCATTCCAGAAGGAGATCATTGATGGTGATGTAAATATACAGACACCTGCAAAATAGGTGTAATGGAGATTTAAAATTGCATTGAAGAAGAAACACTGACCATAGTTCTTTCCAACTCTGTGGAGGGGTAATGGCATACTGCGTATGAGTGGGAAAACAAACCTCTAAATGAATTTGTTCTGTTTCAGAGACCGGAGGTCAGAGGAGCCCGAGAGTGCACGAACTGGATAATGTTAGTAGTAAGGAGATATGAGGGGATTCTGGAGAGAGACAAGGCCCAATCAAAGTGGTGAAAGACCTGCTCAGAACGTGGGTGGGAGATACCACAGGGGGTTGTTGACAGAATGTGGAGACCAGAGGTGTCTAAAGCCCTTCCATCACCCCAGCCCTCCAGCAATGTCTGCTTCACTCACTCTGGTGAGTGGTCCTTGGAAAAATCAAGGACAATGAGAAGGAGTCCATGGCTAGTTGGACCTGGAGTAGAGGAAACAGAAGGCTGAGACAGGGAGAGTAGCGGTTCAGAGATACTGGGCATGGTGGAGAACACAAGCCTCTGGGACTGGGAGAAATTACGGGATAGAGCTTTAAGCCACTTTGATTTAAATCTCAAAGTTCAGGAAGACCTCAGCTGACCTAAACAAAGTTGGGCTCTGCGCGTACTGGTAATGTACCACTTTTCGGATTTTAAAGAAACCGAAACAAACCACTTCAGGAAATGAGGCTGGAATAGTTAGTGCTCTAGAGGCAGAACTCTGGAAGGAGTGTGGTGGAAAGAAGGCCCTGCCAAAGACCTGAACTGGGCTTTTAAATTTTTTCATTGTCAGTTGTTCTTTCAGCCACCCACCACTCTTTCTAGACTGTCCCTCCCAGGAGGCTGCCTGATTTAGGCGGGAAAGTAGGCTTTCTGGTCAATCAGATGTGCATATGAGTCCTGGCTGCACCACTTGCTACCTATAGAAATATATGCAAATTACTTAACCTTTGAGCCTGTCTCCTTTTTATAGAAGATAGATAATAATACCACCTTGCAAGTTTGCTATAAGGATTAAAGGAAATAACACATGGAAAGGACTTGCGAAATGGCTGACAGATGTTCTGTCTGTCTTTATGTCTTGTCTGTTCTGATCTTTGACCTTCTTTTTTTTTCTACTCCCCCTCCCCACCCCAATCCAAAGTTCTGGACCTTCCTAAAGGAAGTGTGGTTCCAACCAGACTTGACCTGTCCACCGTCGTTCCATAGTCATGCATGCTGCTAAGTGACAGCTCACTTAGTATATGCCTGTATATTGCACATTTCCTTGTCCAGGTAACATGTGTACTTCTCCTGGGCCCTCGTAGAGACAATGGCTTAATGAAAAAGATCTGCTCTGTTGATGTGCATTTCAGGCATCACAGAAGACTCAGTAGGGAAAGATTAGAGGACAGGTAGAGGCACCTTTTGTATCCTCGTATCAGCTACTGGGTGCTTCCTCATTGCCTGTGATACTAGAGATATTTCCCATCATGATGCTACCTGTATATCAGGATATATTGATCTTGGTGATTATCTCCATTCACTAAGCATGTGAGTCTTTAACTTGCAGAGGTTTAAGGATTCATAGGTTCAAAGAAAAAAAATACATGTATTAAACCAAACTCGGCACAGGGCCTCTCAGAGTCCAAGCATGATGTTTACACAGAGAAGTGCATTGAAAATGACCTTTTTGCGGGGAGAGGGCAGAGTTGGTGATTTTAAAAACACCCCCAAATGAGTATCTCATATATACAGCTAGCATATATACAGGAGGATGGACATTCTAGAAAGAAGGGTGGTAGGTGGCTAAAAGAACTCACAATGAAAAAATTAAAAACCCAGATTCAGGTCTTTGGTGTGGCTAAAGCTGTTTACCCAGGCTAAAAGGCCACTGAGCTATTGTTTCATATTATAAAATTAATGTAATTTTAGAAAATTTAAAACACATACATAAGGCGGAAAAAAAAAAGAAAAATCAATTATAATTCCACCACTCAGAGATAATCACTGTAACATTTAGTATTTGTCCTTCTTCAACTCTTCCTTAAATCTATCTGACTAGTTATCATCGGAGCCCTAGTGGCACAGTGGTTAAGAGCTCGGCTGCTAACCAAAAAGTCAGCAGTTCAAATCAACCAGTGGCTCCCTAAGAATCCTAGGGGGCAGTTCTACTTTGTCTTATAGGGTCGCTATGAGTCAGAACTGACTCAACGGCACCTAACAACAACAGTTATCATCATCATCATCATCATCATCATCATCATCTAAATGTGGACATACATGTTCTACCATACACCATATTGCACATATTTATACAAGTGATAATACACTGTTTTCTCCTTTTTAACCAAATACATTATGAATATCTTTCTATGGCCATAAGTATACACTGTACAATAATTTTGAGAGCTGTAGTATTTCAATGTTGTTATTAGGTGCTGTCTAGTCAATTTGGAAGCATAGCGACCCCACGGGACAGAGGAGAACTGACTTATAGGGTTTCCTAGGCTGTAGTCCTTATGGATCTATGTCTTTCTCCTGCTGGGTGTGTTAGCATCACAACTTTTAGGTTAGCAGCAGACACTTAACCATTGCTCCACCAGGTCTCCTTATTTCAGTGTGTGACCATAGAATTATTATGCTCAGTCTCCCTCATGGTAGGGTATTCAGACCCTTTTTCAATTTTTCCTGAATAAAAACAAAGATTCTGTTTTTTTCCTTTCCCTTTCTCTTTCTCCTTTCTCCCCCTCTCTCTCTTTTGTTTAAGCCTTTAATCATGAGTTTATTTCTTTATAGCATATGAAGCAGGAATCTAACTGTATTTATTTCCAGGTAGATAAGTTGTCTGAACACTAACATTGAACCATCTAATTTCCTATCAGTTTGAAACACTTCATCGTACACGCAATCTCTGGGTTGCCTTTAGAGTTCCTGTTTTGCTCCAGTTCCCTGTTCATGTGATTCTATGACCGTAACGCCCTATTTCAACAACTGTAGTAGTTAATGTTTTTATTTGCTGTCTGATAGAGGAAGATTACACTTGTTCATCTTTTTAACAAGTTTTCAGACAAATATTGTGACCTTTGACCAGAGCCACTCACAATGGATAAAATGAATGATTTGTGTGGATCCCTTCTGATTACTCTTGCTCTTCTAGAAAAACCAGGGTGTGGAGACTGGACCAGAGGGAAAGAGAGGCATAGGATCTGTGTGTGTGTGACTGTGCATGGGAATGTGTGTGTGTGCAGGTATGGGCGTATGATGTGTATATGTAGGGTATATATGGGTGTACATAGGTATGGGTATGTATAAGTGTGTAAGTTTATGTGTGTGACTATGTGTAGGTATTTTGGTGTGTGTGGACCTGTGTTGTGTGTGTGTGCATGTATGTGTTTGTGTGTGTGCAGGGACAAGGAATGGGAGAAAGCACAGAATCTCAGCAGAGCTAGTTTCCTCCGACAGAGCCAGTCATATTATAATGAATGGAAAACTAGGAGTCCTTCTGAATTGCTGGGTGGAGGGCTGTGGGGACTATGGTCTTGGGGAACATCTAGCTCAACTGGCATAACATAGTTTATAAAGAAAGTGTGCTACATTCCACCTTAGTGAATAGCATCTGGGGTCTTAAAAGCCTGTGAGCAGCCATCTAAGATATTCCACTGGTCTCACCCACTCAGGAGAAAGGGAGAATGGGAGAATGAAGAAAACAAGACACAAGGGAAAGATTAGTCCAAAGGACTAATGGAACACAACTAGCACGGCCTCCACCAGACTGAGTCCAGTACAACTAAATGGTGCCCAGCTACCACCACTGACTGCTCTGACAGAGATCACAACAGAGGGTCCTGGACAGAGCTGGAGAAAAATGTAGAACTAAATTCTAACTCACAAAAAAAGACCAGACTTACTGGCTTGACAGAGACTGGAGAAACCCCGAGAGTATGGGCCCCGGACACCCTTTTAGCTCAGTAATGAAGTCACTCCTGAGGGTCATCATTTAGCCAAAGATTAGATAGCCCCATAAAACAAAATGAGACTAATGGGGCACAGCAGTCTGGGGACAAGGACTAGAAGGGGACAGGAAAGCTGGTAATAGGGAACCCAAGGTTAAGAAGGGACAGTGATGACATTTCGTATGGTTGTTAACCATTGTCATAAAACAGTTTGTGTACTAACTGTTTAATGAGAAACTATTTGTTCTGTAAACCTTCATCTAAAGTACAATTAAAAAAAATACTAAAAAAGAAGAAAACTAGGAGTCCTTTCTCTATTTCTGGCACTGTACTTTGCTGTGTTTTCTTCAGGTTTGACCTCAGTCAGGCCCGGTAAGCTTTGTCTGGAAGGAGGCCCGACCTCCATGTGCCAGTGCCTGGTGCATAGAAGGTTTACTGCAGTAAGGTTTACTGAAGTTGAATTTGGAGAGGGGAGAAGTGGGTGACCTCTGGCTCATTCTGGTGTGATTAGTGTGGTAGGGCAGTGGGTATAGTATGGATATGCCTTGACTGGCTTAGAGTTCACAATCCTGTGGGTAGGCTTGCTGCTGTTTGACGGCAGTGAGTTTAAGTCAAATGGCAAAGTCTGTCCTCCTCATGTTTTGCTGGATGCGTTGTGTTCTCTGAGTCTCTCTTTTTCTCCCAGTGTCCTCCAAGGTGCTTCTCTGCCATGCCTGGAAAATGAGCGGCCCTCGGATCCTGGCTCACAGGCTGTTTTGGCGGAATTTCTGTGGACACAGTTTGGCCAGCCCCCATGTGTCCTCTTCCTTCTCCTAGTTTTCAGGGTTGCCAAGTGGAGAAGGCAGAGCCTGCCTGGGACAGCCTTGGGTGGGCCTGTACTGCCTGCTAGGCCGGATATAACAGTGCAGGCTTCCAGGAAGCCTGAGTTCACATTTGCTAGAAGAAAATCTTCTCACAAGCAAATTGAGTTTCGAGTTGGGCAATTAGACACTTACTAGAGCAATTGGAAATCACCGTCCCCTGGGCTTTGCTTTTCATCCAAATAGTCCAGATCACAATGCCATAGATGACGCTGAGGAAAGGACCAAAGACAATATTAAAATGACTGGCAGGTACCTAATATGAGGATACAGAGAGAGAACTACTCCTATTTCCCTGACGGTGAGGTGTATAGGAAGGGGTCTCTCTCTCTCTTTTTTAAAAATTGTATTTTAGATGAAGTTTTACAGAGCAAATTAGCTTCTCATTAAACAATTAATACACATATTGCTTTGTGACATTGGTTGCCAATCCCATGACATGTCAACACTCTCCCCTTCTCGACCTTGGGTTCCCCATTGCCAGCTTTCCTGTCACCTCCTGCCTTCTAGTCTTTGTCGTTTGGCTGATGTGCTCATTTAGTCTTGTTTTGTTTTATGGGCCTGTCTAATCTTTGGCTGAAGGGTGAACCTCAGGAGTGACTTCAGTACTGAGTTAAAAGGGTGTCTAGGAGCCATACTCTTTGGGTTTCTCCAGTCTGTGTCAGACCAGTAAGTCTAGTCTTTTTTGTTGTTGTTGTTAGTTAGAATTTTGTTCTACATTTTTCTCCAGCTCTGTCTGGGACCCTCTGTTGTGATCCCTGTCAGAGCAGTCGGTGGTGGTAGCAGGACACTACCTAGTTGTATTGGCTCAGTCTGGTGGAGGCTGTGGTACTTGTGGTCTATTAGTCCTTTGGACTAATCTTTCCCTTGTGTCTTTGGTTTTCTTCATTCTCTCTTGCTCCAGATGGGGCAAGACCAGTGGAGTATTTTAGATGGCCACTCGCAAGCTTTTAAGACCCCAAATGCTACTCACCAAAGTAGGATGTAGAACATTTTCCTTCTAAACTGTTATGCTAATTGACCTAGATGTTTGGGAGGGTCTGTTGACCATGTCTGCCACCTATACTTGCTGATTATAGAACCACAGCAGATCGAAACTGAAAGGACCATAACAATCAGTTGGATGTTGCTACTTTTTTTTTAAGTGAAGAGACTAGGACTTGGTGAAGTTAAAGGATTTCCCCAAGGTAACTCAAGTGGTTAGAAGTACAGCTGGGATTAGAATCCAAGAACATGAGCTATGGAGTCAGAAAGACCTAGGTTTGTAACAAGCTCTACCACTAGCTGGTTGTATGAGCTTGGTATTAACCTATCTTACTGGGTGGTGCCAACTGTTAATGTGCTCGGCTGCTAACTGAAAGACTGGAAGTTCAAGGCTACCCAGAGGCACCTCGGAAGAAAGGCCTGGTGATATACATCCAAAAAAAAAATCAGCCATTAAAAACCCTACGGAGCACAGTTCTACTCTAAAACACATGGGGTCGCCGTGAGTTGGAGTCAACTCAATGGGAACTGGTTTTAGTGTGAAAGATAGACTTTGCCCCATCTCTGAAATTTTGGCCTTTGTATAATCCTCTCCCTTAAGTACAGGCAAGACCTGTGACTTGCTTCTAACCAATGCAGTGAAGTGAAAGTGATGGAATTGTGTGATTACATAAGAGTGTAGTGCCTGTCTTACTAATATCTTTCACTCTCTGTCTCTTTCTTCCTCTTTCTCACCCTTCATTGCTGGCTTTAAAGAAGCAAGCTGCCATTAATCCTATAACCACAAGAAATTTAATTCTGCCAACAGAAGCTCCTTCCGCCATTGAGCCTCTGATGAGACCCCAGCCCTGACTGACACCTTGATTGCCACGTTGTGATGCCCTGAGCTGAGGACCCAGCTAAGCCATGCCCGGACTCTTGACCCACGGAGACTGGAAGATAATAAATGTGTGTTGTTTCAAGTCACTAAGTTTGTGACAATTTGTTATGCAGCAAAAGAAAACCACTACAATGAGCTTCAGTTAAGATTCTGTAAAATGGAGTTACTAATGCAAACCTCTTAAGTGTTCTTTTGAGGATCATGTGATAATATTCAAAGTGTGAAGCACAGTGCTTGAAAATGAGTGGAGACTTTATAAATGCAGCTGTCTTTCCTCCCTTTCTTCCCTATTTTTTACTGTATACCATACCTACTCTTGCATGATCTAGTCTGCGCCTAATGGAAAAAATATTAATGATTCAAAAGCATCATCAAATTTTGTATCTTATGGTGTCTTTGATAAATATAAAAACTTACCCCCTTTTTAAGTTATTTTTTATTTCAAGTATATTAAGTACCTTGACTAAAAGCTTTGGTACAAAGCGTTGCTTTATTTTAAAGCTGCACAACCCTCCCTCTTGAGAAACACTGGTTTAAAAAAAAAAAAATCTGAGCTCTAGTGTGCAGTAGCTGACAAAGCACTAATTGCTTTTAAAGATCTGCAACAATATAGCTTAATTAATGACTGCGTTAAAGCCCTATGCTTTCTTATTGCTTTTTGCAGTTCTGCTCTGTGATCCCCTCGGAGTACTCCAGGAAAGCTCAGGGCCTTTTTAGAGCAACCCCAGCCTCCCCATAGGACTTTCTGGAGTGTGTATGCCTATATTAAAACAAAAAAATAAGAAGAACAAAAATATTATTGAGTCTATTCTTCACCCTAAATTAGAGCAGGAGAACTTCTTTTCTAGGTAAATGAAATACAGCATAAGGTCATAACCACATGAAGTGTTAATGGTGTATTACAATTGCAAACCCAGTACTTAATTAATAATTCAAATATTTATTGACCACCAAACATACATATATATAATGGAAAAATGAATAAAAGTCTATGTTTTAGGAGTTTGGATCTAAGTCACCCGCATCCTCTTTTTCTCAGGACCAACGAGGCAAGTGGAAATCCAGCTTTACTGTTTGCTGGGCAAACATCTAATAACCAGGGTGACCCTATCATTTATTGTCCAAACCAAGCCACTTCTCAAGAGTGTAGCAGTCATACATCAAAGAGACCTCTGAATTGTGTTTGTCTCCTTCTTCTTCCTCATTACCTTTATCTAATTGTTCAGCAAATCCTGTGGGGTGTCCCTTCAACATGTCCCTATAATCTTGTCACAGTGGCGACGGTTGTCAGGGCGGCAGAGACAATAATCAATGCCACAACTCTTACAGAGAAGTGGGGCCAGGAGGGTCACTCTGAGGAGTCGAACCCCAGCTTCAGCCCCAGGAGTTTATTTTATAGTCAATACAGCAAGCAGTAAAGCAAATAACAGAACAATGGGCTTTGGGTGAGTAACAATAAGTTTCGGGCAAGGGAGAAGGAATTCAGGT